ATAACGCTTACTAATGTGCACTCTAAGGGGTTAAAGGTAGGATGTTTCAGTTATTATTATGTATTGTGAAATTAGGGCCATGAGACACCAAGAAAGAGGAATAGCAAGATTGTTCAAGCAATCTTGGTGGTTGGAAAATAAAGGGAGCAAGAAGGAAAGTTTAAGGATAAAAGGTAGTGAACTTACCTTTCTTGTGTACTTGATGTGTATTCTTATGTGCTGATATACATTATGTTGTTTGATGATGATATGAGATGCTAATGTTAGTATAATGCTCTAATTCATTGATGTTTTCTATGGCTGTAACATCCAGACTTTTAGGCCTAGAAGCATCAAAAGTAGCCTGAATTGGATAGGCTATCAGACCCTTTTTGAGCAGAAGTCCCAAATATGAGAAAGGAAGTCAAAGCAGCTTCAGGGACTAAACTGCAAAGTAAAAGTTTTTCAGGAACTTCAGTTTAATCAAGGTCAGAGACTCCAGTAAAGTCTCAAAGGCCTAGAGAGAGAAAAGAGACTAGATATAGGCCAAAGGTTAAGTTAGAAGCCTCAAAGAGAGGATTATATGAAGTTAAGTCGAAGCAGGGACTAAACTGTAAATTCAAAAAGTTATGACCAGCAATGGCAAAAATGGAAGAGTGTACAGAAAATTCTAAGAAAATCCCAAAAATGGGAAATAATATTCTAAGACTCTTCTACAAAGAGAAAAGACGAAAAATACCCCTGAGATAGCTTAAATGGAATTTATGAGGTTATGGCCAGTAAAAAGTATACTGTTTAAGGTAATTATTTAAAATAGTAAGAGACCTTAAAAATGTAAGTAAAAATGAGAATTAATTGGTTGAAAGGTTATACTAATTTATAAAATTAGTCCCACAACTAAAAGGCCAGTGGAATGGCTTTAATAAATTAAAGAGCAGATTATACCGATAAAAGGGTATTTTAGTAAATGATTTTTATACAAGGCTTAGAGGAAGTGTTATGGCCTGAGAAAATTCATAGATGCTCTCTAGAATGAAGGAGAATTTATGGAGTAGACAGAAGAATTTTCTAAACCGTGAAAGGCCATAAAGAAAGTCGGAGAAATGTGGGCCAAATAAAATAGGAGGAAACTTAAGGGCTAAGTTTAGATCCGACGGTTATGATCTAATCTTCCTTCTCCTCCACCATTTTTGTGACACGTGGCCTCTTCTAGAAGCATGACGCAAGGATGATGTAATAAGGTGATGCAATGATGATGCAAAAGTCCACTTGAACTTCCAAAATTGCCCTTACTCCTTCTTCTAGTTACCAAGGGCATTTTGGTCCATTCAAGCCAACTTTTTGGCTATAAATAGGCACTATTCTCCCCCCCAATTCAGCCAAGCTGATGAACACTAGGGGAAACTCTACTGCCCTTGCATCTAGAGAGAGAAAGAGCTATTTCTTGTGAGAGAAAGTTCACCTAAGCTCAAGCTTCAAGATCAAGGTATGTGGTGGCTGTAGTATCTGATTTGATACCTATTTTGAATTAGTTACTGTATGTATCTAATTCTGTAATTTTGTATGCTTAAAGCACACTCTGTAAGCTTTAAATCCATGGGTAGAACACTTTATTTGGATACGTGTATGATTTATGGTGATTTTTCAAAATTAGGGTTTGAAATCTAGAAACAGTGTTGAACTTTTGGAAGAGTTTCGAGTTCCGTACAATTCCAGTACTTTTCGGAGTAGAATTGGTTTCTGAAACTATTTTTCCTTTAAATTTAACTTAAGAAGCTTTCAGTGAGACTTGGAAGCACTCAATTTGGATTTTTCTAGATTTAATTATGAATTTTCAAAGTTGAGCAAAAATTCTGGAGTTTCTGCGTGAACAGTATCCACGAACCAAAATTTCCAGATTTGGTATTCTTGAATCTAAGGCCATCTAAAGTGGTCCTAATTGACAAGAAATAGATTTTAAGGATGGAAAATGATAAGATTTATATTAGAAAAGTTAGAAAGAAAACCCTAAGACTAAGAGAAAGGGTTGAGGTTCAAGAAAGCTAGTCTTGAACTTTATGTAATTTAATGGTCCTAATGGATTGTGTGATAATTATGGTTATGTTTAAGACCTTTGGAACATCCAAGAGGAATTTTGGTGATGTTGACTGAATACCCACATGGTTGGAAAGTCAAGGGAGTCAAAGGAAAAGTAAGAGGAAAGCTTGAGGTGCAAGGTAGTGAACTTACCCTTTATGTGCTTGACATGGTATGCTCATGTGTTGGTTTGTATTTATTGTTTGAATGATGTTGTGACATGATGATTGTTGCTGGAAATGCTGTTTTTAATATGTTCCCATGACCATACATTTTTATACCAAGCATAAAGCATGATGGCATGTCACTAGTTAACTTAAGTTTATGAAAAACTACATACCATACACTAGCATCCATCTTGTGCATGTATGTTGTAATGTTTGCTACTGAGATTCCCCCGAATCTCACCCCTTCGTAACCAACCATTTAGGTCAATCAATGATGGGCACTAATGGCATGAGAAGCAAGGAGAAGAAGTGGAGAATTATTGATGCTAATGATTGATACTAATATTCAATGTATAATTCTCCTATGTTATAATTATGTTGTGAATGCCATGTATTTAATTATAAAGCTTATGGCATGTATAGGAATGTATGAGTATGAATGGAAAAAAGTAAGCCCATGTTAGGTATGCCAAAGAAATAAAAAGAATTAAAGTAAAGAGATGTTAAGGGATAAAACGTAGGTCATGGAGCAGTTAGTTTCGAGTTTCAGTTTGACCTATCATATGAATGAGTTAAGCTACGAAATTTGGTATAATTATAGTTCACATCCCAAGATTTAAAATGAGTGGTGAATCACCTCATTTGGATGTGTATACGAAGAGATATTAATTTTCAAAGTTAAGGCGGATAATCTAGAAAGTCTAGATTTTACCAAACGAATAGTAATCTTAATCCAATAAACTACGTTTTCAGTGAGGGTGAGTTCAGTTGAATATTTTTTCCCTTAAAGAGCATTAAAATAGCTTTCTGTAGAATTTTGGAATACCTCCATACGATTTTTTTAGAATTAGTTATGATTTTTCAAAGTTGGACCTGTAATTTGAAAACTGGACAGTGAACAGTACTTTTATGAAAATTAACGTCCAAATTGAAATTTTTAAGTGTAAGACCATCCAACATGGTCTGGAATGGTTCTAAATGAATGCTAAGGTACTATATAAGTAAGGTGTGACAATGGCCATGCGTGTTACAGTGAAACATTGAGCATGAGAATATGTTATAGGTAAACATGAGCTTGATCAAGTAATGTACTATATTACATTGTATAAATTGTATGTTAATGCATGATATAAACATACAACTAATATTATGTGATGATAAATAATGATAATGGCATGTATAACTGACTATGATAATGTATGAGAATAGTTTCTGGATTGATAGAGTGAGAATATACATGGAAAGAATTAATCATGAATTGTTAATGCAAGTTAGGGAGATAAACCATTCCTAAAAGTGAAAGTGAGGCAAATGATTGATTCTGCCAGTGAAATTTGATATGATTAAAGTACACATCCTGAGCTTTAAAATAAGTAGTAGAACACTTAAAATGGATATATGTGCTAAGAGTTATGCTTGATCAAATTTAGGGTAAAGAAACTAGAAAGTACAGTTTTGACAAAATGAATAGTAAACTTCAATGAATAAACTGTACGAATCGGCAGGGGTTGAGCCCAATTTTATATTCTTTCCGCATAGAGAATTGAAAGAGCATTAAATAAAATTTTGAACCACCTCAATAAGAATTTTTATAATTAGTTATGATTTTTTAAAGTTGGACTGAAAATATGGAATTTAACCAGTGGACAATAACCCAAGAACAAATTATAAATTTTCAATCTACGAGCTTGTTTCATGATACGCTTGAACCATAACACTTCCCAATGCGTACTCAAGGGAGTTTAAGAAAGGATGTTTCATTTTGGTATCAGAGTAAAAGTTTTGGCAAGTATTTAAACAGAATAGAGACTCTGCTAAAGGTTTTGACAAAGGTATAAACCAAGCATTGGCTCAGACAAAGCCCGGTATGAGAGAAAACCTTATTTAGGAAGTGATGCGTTACTAGGATTGGTCAAACTAAACTTAAGAGATTGACGTGATTTCTCCAAGGGAAATGGATGTAGAAGAGAAGTAAGAAATGACAAAGGGTAGCCTGAGATATAGGTAGTCATTGTTAAGAAACTTCCCCTCAAAAGAGGCATGGTTGAACTAAGAGAGCTTGACCCAGGGTATGAGTCAAAGTCAAAAGACTCCCTTAGAGAGTAATGGCTAAGAGTATAGTAAGCAAATCAAGGGTGTAACTCAGTACTCTAGTAGGGGAGCTGAGTAGCAACCTAAGCCTTAATTGATCAATGTGACCTCGATAGAGATAAGGTAATAAGATAAGATGCTTGAGATTTGTTCAAATCCTTGAATAGTAGTAAAAATCTCTAAGGAATAAGATCCTTTTAAGAAAAGAAATTGCATTATTTATATATTTATTGTCTTTAATGAATTTTAATCAACTTTTCTAATTATTTGTCTTTTTTTTTGAGCAAAAACCTTTTCTAATTATTGATGGTGGACTAATTGGCAATTTCTTGGGCCGACAATATTGCTATTTTCATTATTATATAATTGACCTCCTTTGACAAAAGCTATATACTCCTCCGGTCCTTAATATAGGACCCAATTCTTGAGTTAATTTTGATCCTAAATATAAGACACATTTCTTATATTTATCAATTTTTTCTAAATTACTCCTATAGATACTCTCTCAACCATAATCAAATAGAAGAGAAAGATGGAGTATTAAGAAAGATGATTATGGTGTTTTAGAGAGAAAAAAAAAAGGTGTCACTTTTCTTATAATTAACCAACTTACCTAACTTCTTTAATCTAATCAAATTAGTTAAATGAGTCTTATATTAATAATGGAAGGAGTACAATATAACACAGTTTCTCCGAATATATCAGGCACACACTTTCGTTGCGGGCAAGTATTCGAATTATATTCGCACTGACAAGAAATTACATTTAAACCAGTAAATTAAACCCAAAGTGAAGAAAAAGAAAAAGAAAAAGAAAAGGAACCTTAAATCTCAGACCCAATTAGAAACCGAAACTAATTACACATTCTTGATATCTTGACCTCCTTTGGTCATTTGAACCCCATTCCCATAATCTTCATCACTTGCCACATACTTCGCCCAGAACCAATGCGTCTTCCAAACTTTACCCATCTCTTCAATGGGAATTCCTTTGGTCTCAGGAAGGAAGTAATAGATGAAGATGGACATGACGAGCACGAAGAAGCCAAAGAAGATGAAAAGCCCAAACTTCATGTGACAGAGCATCGCCAAGAAGACTTGTGCCACGAAGAAGGTGAAGAGCATGTTCACTGAGACGTTTACGCTCTGAGCTGCGGACCGGATCTCCAACGGAAATATCTCACTGGGGACCAACCACCCTAGTGGGCCCCATGACCACGCGAAGCCTGCCACGTAGATGCAGATGAACAGAACCACCACCACTGCGTACCACTTTGGTAAATCCCCTGGGTTCCCATCAATCCCAAACTTGGCTGCAATGCAAGCGGCAACCACAGCCTGTGTCAAGCATTATTACAAACTACTTCAGTTCATGTACAGAGCTAATTTGGTTATAAGGCGTATTTTTAACCAGGGACCCTTCCCAATAATTTTTTTTCTTTTTAAACTAATTACCAAGCTGTTCCAGACATGGACACTGTTTATACGTTGCGAGGGCTCAGCCTTTTTGCTAGACCACTCCACTTCTTAGTTTGTGTGCGTGTTATATTGAAGTCATTAAAAGATTTTAACACCAAAAGAACACATTGCAACGAAAGTCGTCAAAGGTGTTCTTGACTCAAGTTAGTCAGAAAACACTGGCAATACTAGCGTCGAGAAAAATGTACCTGGCATACAAGCATTTGGGCCCCACCCTCGAGGAAGAGCTTTCTTCGTCCCCACCTATCTACTCCGTAGATGGAGACCATGGTGGCAACCACATTAACCAGACCAGTGATGACAGCAGACATGAGAGCTGCATCATCTTTAAACCCAATTGAATTGAACAACACAGGCGCATAGAACATGATCACATTGATTCCAGTGAATTGCTGGAAGAAGGGGATCAGTATGGCCATAGTGAGATGTGGCCGGTACTTCCTCTGCAACAGGTTTCGCCATGGATGCTCCACTTGCTTCGACGCTTCACTCGCCGCCACCAGGTCGTTGAACTCCTCGTCGACGTCGTCGATCCCTCGGACTTTCTGGAGCTTCTTCCTCGCTCCGCCGTGATCTCCTCGTTCGATCATGGAGTTCGGTGTGTCGGGAAGAAGAAGCGACCCGACTGTGATTATCAGCGCCGGTACCATTGCTCCGCCTAAGCTCAGCCGCCATCCCCAACCTCCTTTGATCTTTGCGAAGAAGTAGTTCAGCACGCTGGCTATTAGAATTCCGATGGTGATTGATAATTGAAAGCCTATGTTCAGAGCTCCTCTGTATTTGTATGGAGCCATCTCTGAGAGGTACAGTGGCACAGACTAAAAAGGGGAGAAGACGACACAAACGAACAAAAAAGGGAAATAATAAATTAATAATTTAATTCACTGGCGTGGAAAATTAAAAAGGAACTTTATAATGTGAAAACTTAAAAATTTCGATTCGAACCGGTGGATAATAAAGTCAAGAAAAGAGGAAATCGCGATGATGTCACATGCAATTGTGCAAAGAAAAACGATGGCCCGATAATTTCAGCGTTTTTAAATAATGAGAAAATGGAATTATAACAAAGAGGCTTCTATGTTTGTCTGTCCAAATTCGGCTTTTGGTCTCAGATCCTGCCTTAGGTAAGGGAAGAAAAAATCTGGGTGAGGAAGTGTTTCATATTCTCGGCAACCAAACAGGCCAGAAGAAGCCGACTAATCAGTGAAACGGATAAGTCAACAGTTACAGCCGATGAGCCAAGCTCTTAATAGATCATAAATTCTAGGTGAAAAAGTTCTCTTCAGACTAGTACTCCTCTGATCCTATTTATAAAGTACTTCTAACATGTTTTATATAGACCAAAAAAAACCTTAAACTGCATTAATTCTCCATTAAAATATAACAACTTTCCAACTTTACCCTTATTTAATATATACTCCTTTCAAAAAAAAGATAACTACTTATACTATAATAAATGAGAGACAAAATAGTACATTCACACTGAAAAGTTAAGGAAGTGACTTATAAATAAGACAAAAAAAAACTTCTCTCTGTGCCCTATAAATAGAACAAGAGGAGTAACTCTCTAATGTTTAAGACCATATTTCCCCGGAAAATAAATTCAGGAATAAAAGGCAGTATGCGTAAACAGATCTGGGAAAAAAGTTAGAAAATAGGAAAACAGAACAGATAGAATAAACTCGTGTGATTTCGTGTTTTATGGAGATAGACACAAAGCAATTTTTGTTATCTAGTATTCCCTCCCTCCGTTACTTGTTACTTGTTATAAGAGACGAATAACCAAATTAGATTGATAAAAAAAAAATTAAAATTAATTAAGAACAGTCAATGTGTAAAAGATATAATTTTTTTTTTCAAAAAGACCTTCATTAATAAGGAGAGAGGGCATGAGAGAGAATAATAATAAATTATTTAAAGAAAGAGAAGTAAAAAAGGAAGAGAGTGTGAGTTGGAGACAATAAATATAGATAAAATAAGAAATCCACACTAAAAAAATAGAAACAACTTTTAAGTGTCTTATATATATAGAAAGATATTATAAGCATCAAATTTCTCACAGAAGGAGTATTTTCCCAGAGAATAGTATCCTGGACATGACCATGTTAGTGTTATCCTAGAAAAACTTTATGACCATAATCAGAAAATGAGAATTTATCAGTCCCCCAGGTTCCAAGGAAAATTCAAATTCCGGAAAATTGGAGACAAACATACCTGATTGGCGAATCCGATACCGAATCCGAGCAAGATCCGACCAAGAATCAACATCCAAACGGCTTTTGCGAAGCCATTGATCAGAGCTCCGGCGAAGAACAGAACACCTCCGAAGAGCATCGACAATTTCCGGCCAAACTTACGCGTCACGGTGGACGCGACTATCGACGACAGAAGCGCCGCCAGGTACAGCGACGACGTGAACATCGTCAGTACCTGACTGTCGTACTGACAATACTCGTTGGTCGACTTGTCTAGGTTCTTTTTCCGGTAGGTCGACGGGAAGAACTTCTCCAAGAACGGATCCATGGACGTCACACCACCTGAGTAACAAACACAGAAAGTCAGATCCATTATTTGGGTTTTCTCGGGAAGCAAAAAACTCTTTCTTGTGATCATACCGGAAATCCCAATATCGTAGCCGAAGATCAGACCACCCATAGCTGCAACTATACATGTTATCGTCACGAACACAGTGAGGTTGCCGGGATACTCCCTCCCGCCACCTTCTCCGATTCCTCCGACGGCCGGCATTTTCTCTCCAAATAAGACACAGAGATCCCGAAACTGGAAGCAGGAGACGCTATGAGGTTCTTCCAACCGGCAACGGGAGGGTATTATATATAGACGAGGAGGCCTTGACAATTTGACATTGAGCTTCCTAGTTGAGCTTAAAGAAGCGAAAAATCCCCGTAGATACCCTATCCCAAAAGGGCACGGTTTCTCTCCACTGGCGAGCACAGTTTCTCTCCACTTCTTCTCCCACCCTCTTCCCCTCTGCTATCCTTTTTATCTTTTACAACCATTGGATCAAAACTTCAATGATCCAGATTTAATATTTTACAACATTTTATAAAAATAAATATAATTATAAAAATAGATAAATAAATTTAAACTATTAAAATCTAATTTGAATAGCTCATATCTATAAATTATTATTACAGAACAAATTTTTTTCAACTTTTTTTATTACGGTTATTAACTGTTTAGACCAGATTTTAACAGTTTAAGTTTATTTATTTATTTTTAATAATATTATTTTTATAAGATATCAAATCTGAATTATTGGAATTTTAATTCAATAGTTGTGAAGGAAAATAGAAGATAGTGGAGAGGAAAAGGATGGAAGAAGAAGGGGAGAGAATCCAGATCCCAAAATCCAAGTGAAATGGATTGTCGTGAGTGGCTATAAAATTGAATTTTAAAATTAATTAAAAAGAAGCAAGAGGCTCTCTTGGGGATAACATGGATGTATGTGTGGGGCCAACAAAATCACCAGTACAAAAATATTTTTATTCCGAGACAAAATTTATTTATATTACATATAAAATTATCCTTTTTTTCCTAGCAATAAAATCATCCTTTTTAAAACACCATGTAAACTACTTTTTTTTTATCTTATTTATAAAACAAAGTGAGAAATTTTTTGTCCTATTTATATATTACATCATTAATTTTTTAATATGAATATACTATTTTATTTTATATGAATTATTTTTTAATCTTATTTATAAGGGAAAGTAAGAAGTTTTTCGTTCTAGTTATATATCGCATTATTAAATTATCAAGGTGAATATACTATTTTACCTTTCATACAAAGCAAGGTGAAAATTTTTTTGGTTCTAATTACGTATCATATCATTAAATTTTTAACTTATATAAACTACTTCTCTAGTTCTATTTATAAAGTAAGAAAATTTTTTATTCTATTTATATATCACAAGTGACATCATTAAATTCTTAACATGATATATTATTTTACCTTTCAATTTTTTAATAAAAAGATAATTTGATTATGTAAAATGGTAACACTTGATTATTTATAAATTTTGTTTTGAAAGAAAATACTTTTTTATCGGCGATATTTTGTGGGCCCTACATATGTATCCATATAAACCCATAAGAGCATGTGCTCCGCCTCTTGCTTCTCTTTAATCTTGGAACTTAGTTTTATAGCCATCCACGACAATCCATTTCAGTTGCGTTTTATCATCTGCTCCAAACTATTGTCATAAAGTCGAAGTGGAGATGCAGTGGATGGGAACCTCAGTGGAGAGGAACCGCGCCCCTGGCTTTTAATATTAAGTATAGAAGAACACACACATACTATCTCCGATTCTTAATGCAAAAACTTGTCTGACTTTTATTTTGGTTCTAAATATAAATTCTCAATCTATTTTGTTTTTTATATTTATCCATTTTTTCTTTAGTCCTTATAATAATAGTATTCTAGCCAATACACTTGATTAACAAAGATATTTTAGAAATGATAATCTAGTTATTACAAATAACTAACTTAACTAATTTTCTTAATCTACTCAAATTAGTTAATTAGTTTTTATATTAAAAACCGGAGATAGTATAGTTATATATTCTTTCATAAAGCTCATTGCCATATAAGAAGGAGCTCTAATTTTTATGTTATTTTTGAATTTTCTGATCATGAAGATAACGAATGGCATAGCTCTTGTCTGTCTTCGAATCTTCGCCTAAACTCAGATATTGCTCTCAAACAAGGCAAAAGTATCTTTTCTGAATTTTTTTTAAAAAAATATTAAAATACACTAAAAAATTACTAAAAGACAAATTAGGCTAGATAAATTTTAAAATCCCAAATCACACCCCTTGTACTATTTTGAAATTCTAAATTATTATGAAATGACAACATTATTCTTACTCATAGTGACTACTTTCATATAACTATTGACTATATTTATTTTCAAAATGATTATGGCTATTTTGTATAGCTATTAACTATATATGAGTAGTAAATAACTAAACAAAAAATAGTAACTAGATTTTAATAGCACTTAATGTATTTTTTGAATTTTTGAAGTACAAGTAATTGATAGTGAAACTAAAGTAGTCAATAGTTGAATAAAAGTAGTTACCAAAATTTTAAAAATAAAAGTAGTCAATTGCAATATTAGAGTAGTCAGTAGATAAATAAGAATAGTCATCAGAATTTTAAAAACAAATGTAGTCAATAACTAAAAAAGAATAGTTAATACATAAGAAAAAATAGTTATCAGAACTTAGCAGCAAGTCACTAAAGCTTTAGTGGCCGGGTTGGAGGTTGAAAACCAGCTAAGGGTCCTAAAGTGGCAATGTTTAAAAGGAAAAAATAGTGAAGTGTATTCGCATAATTTTGTAAGATTTGAAAATTTCAAAACAATACAAGGAGTATGAATCAAAATTTCAAAATTAACTCATATTAATTTGTCATTTAGCAATTTTTAAGATATTTTATTGTTTTTTTTTCAATTTTTAAAAATTAAAGTTCAACTTTACTTTTGGCAAAATAAAGACCATAAAATTTTAATTAAACTGTTCCATTTTTTTCTTGGAATAAAAGTTTAGGTGCGTTAGGTTCCAAGATTCACTAGAGTCAATGCATACCTCTAGGTTTAGAAAGCACTTACTAAAGTATTTACAAATCGCTCGCCAAAAAAGTCCTTATATTGGTAGTTTGATTTAAACTCATGAACTTTGTAAGTTATGAACTCATTTCTTACCAATTCGACCAACTTCTATTTGTGACATTATCATTAAAAGCATATTTGCTTTTAAAAAATTGATATTTCAAAAGTAAAATTACACGACAAAATATTTTATGATGCTAGATATATCTGAAAAAATACTTCCAGATGTTAGATGCACTACAAATTACATTAGAGTGCTGAACAGACTTTATAAAATACTTCAGGGTAATAGACGTACCTTAATAAATTAAATTATTTAATTTATACAATATTTAATGTGAGAAAATTTTATTAAATATTCTAGCCTATCATGAACCCATTCAAAATCTTCTTTTTTTGAAATAATCCTTCGGGTCACTTGGTGCCCAACGCTCTTTTGAATCCTATTAGGTATATGAGCAACCAACTAATTTGGATCAAGGCTTTACAATTAGTTCCCTTACTTTATGATCAAGTTTATTTTTAGTATAAAAAAATCTATTATATAAAATAAAGAAAATTATTACACAACTAAGATCAGTATTACTGAGTTGAGGGGATGAGGTTAATGAAACACTAGTTTTGTAAGATGAGCAACTAGAAAAAGATTGAACCAATGTGTTAATATCTTTGCCAAGATGCACGCCACTGAAATCAAAACAATAAAAAAGACCATTTAGCAACTAGTTCTTATATGAGGCGACATCGATGTGATTCACAAGCTGCGAGAAGCTTCGAGCTAGTTGAGTAGCCTTAGGTGGGAACCATACGAGTTTGCATCCCATTCAATTCAATTGGTGGGGACCATGCTAATTAATGACTTCAGAGAAAATGCAGTAAGGCTTTGACAATGAGATAACTTTTAGCGGGACACGCTATGAAAGGAGTCTTTCAATTCAATACATGCGCATAGAAAGTTGGAAAGAAAAGACAATTAAATTTTCTCCACACATATTAGATTATGTGATAACGAACTATTTTTCTAATTCTATTTCTATGTATATATTTCATACAAACTAAAAAAAATCTTAAACTATATTAACTCTCAATTAAAATATAATAATTTTTAATTTTATCTTTATTTAATATATACACTTTTTAAAAAGAACTGTTTACACTATAATAAATGAAAGATAAAATAGCTAAAATTTTAATGAAGTGACTAATAAATAGGGTAAAAAAATTTCTCTCTCTATCTTATAAATAAGATAAAAAGAGTAGATAACTCATAGAACGGGCTTCCATTGACTCCAGTCTTCCGTTGACTTGGACAACAACACCTAGAAATAATGTGTGGAGTATGAATAACAATGAGTGATGGTCTTCACAGCTTTTAAATATAAGTATAGAAGAACATAGATGGATATATATCATCTATAAAGTTCATTATCAAGAAGGAGTTATAATTTTTTTGTCATTTTAGGAATTTCTGATCATGAAGATAGCAAATGAGATGGTTCTTATTTGTCTTGTATTATTCTCTTACTACTATTTGTTTTGTGCCGCTTTTGAAGCCATAACTATTGGCAAACCCATTAGCGATGATGGAGAACTTATTTCTAAAGGAAGAAAGTTTGCTCTTGGGTTCTTCACTTTTGGCAAATCTAGCTCTCGTTATGTTGGAATCTAGTATTATAATTTGCCAAAGCAAACTGTTGTCTGGGTAGCAAATAGAGACAATCCCATCAATGACGCCTCTGGAGTTCTCTCCCTCAGCATAGATGGGAATCCCATTCTCCCCCACAATAACACCAACCTCCCTCTCTGGTCCACGAATGTTTCTGTCAATGTTTCAAGTACCAAAGTTATGGCTCAACTATCTGATGTAGGTAATCTTGTTCTAATTCAAAACGACTCCAAAACTGTGTTCTGGCAAAGCTTTGATCATCCCACCGACACCTTTCTTCCATATGCCAAATTGGGTTTCAACAAAAGAATTGGTCAGGATTGGTTCTTGCAGTCATGGAAGACAGACGATGATCCCACAACAGGAAGCATCTCAACCAGGTTCAATACTTCTGGCAAATCTCAGTTGTTTCTGTAGAAGCAAAACGTTCTAGTGTGGCGAGTTGGACCCTTCAATGGAGAAATATTTGTGGGTCTTACAGCTTTGAAACGTTTAATGATGTATACCTTCAATATTTTTGTTAAGGAAGATGATAATGAGGTCAGTGTCACGTATAATGCCTTGGACAACGCCTCCATATTCAAGATTGTAGCTATTCCATCAGGATTCATGCAAATGCATATATGGGATTATGATAAGAAAGATTGGAAGCGATATGCATCTTATCCAGAAGTGGACTGTGAGAATTATGGAACTTGCGGCCCCAATAGTAACTGTGACTCTTACAATTTTAGATACCATAAGTGTACTTGTCTACTGGGGTTTGAACCCAAAAACCCAGAAGATTGGTATCAAAATGATCAATCAGCAGGTTGCGTGAGGAAGAAAGGGCCACCCTTGTGTAGAAATGGAGAAGGCTTTGTTAAAGTAGAAAGTGTCAAGATTCCTGATACATCTATAGCAAATGTTAGAAAGGGTTTGAGCACGCAAGAATGTGAACAAGAGTGTTTGAGAAATTGTTCTTGTACTGCCTATACTGCTGCAGATGTCAGAAATGGAGGGAGCGGGTGCTTGGCATGTGTAACATCAAGACTTTTAGGCCAAAAAGTACTAGAAATAGTATGAATTGGATAGGCTGTTAGACTCCTTTGAGTAGAAGTCCCAAAGATGAAAAAGAAAGTCAAAGCAGTTTCAGGGACTAAACTGTAAAGTAAAAGTTTTTCAGGGGTTTCAGTATAATCAAGGTGAGAGACTCCAGTAAAGTCTCGAGGGCCTAGAAAGAGAAAAGAGAGTAGAAACAGGCCAAGGGTTAAGCTAGAAGCCTCAAAGAGAGGATTATATGAAGTTAAGTCCAAGTAGGGACTAAACTGTAAATTCAAAAGTTATGACCAACAGGGGTAAAAATGGAAGAGTATACAAAGAATTTCAAGAAAATTCTAAAAAATGGGAAATAATATTCTAAGGCTCTTCTATGAAGAAAAAAGACGAAAATACCCCTGAGGCAGCTTAAATGGAATTTATGAGGTTGTGACCGGTAAAAAGTATACCGTTTGAGGTAATTATTTGAAATAGCAATAGACCTCAAAAATGTATACAAAAATGAGGTTAAAGGGTTGAAAGGTTGTACTAATTTATAAAATTAGTCCCGCAATCAAAAGGTTAGTGGAGTGGCTTTAATAAATTAAAGAACCGGTTTTACCGATAAAAGGGTATTTTGGTAAATGAATTTTTATGCAAGGTTTAAAGGAAGTGTTATGGCCTAAGAAAATTCATAGATATTCTCTGGAATTAAAGGGAATTTATGGATCTAACAAAAAATAATTACAGAAGCCAGAGCACTGTAATTATAGAAAAGAAGTTAAACCCGGAGTAAAAGTGCACCGATAAAGTGTTAATCAGAGTCTTGCACTTTACTTGGCCCACAAGTCGCCACTTGTCAAGCCCTTAATGGATGGTAATTAAAGCTTTCCAAGTGTTAAGCTACCAATGGAGAGGATCTTGACTTTGGAA